ATAAAAGAAAAATGTTCAAGCATATACAGCACAGTTGACAACAAAAACACTTGCATATGCTAGACAATAAACCACTAACCTGTTCAATAATGGAGTTGTCAGTCAAAGGAATTCTCTGCTTGTTGACTTTCCCAAAGCCCCTCTTGTTAAATTAGGGTACCTAAAGTCAATTTGTTTATAATATGAGCCGTGATACAAGGAAAGATTCCAGAAAAACCTATTAAATAAATTAAAAACTTGGATACCCATAGGTAACATAAGGCTCAACCCTGTGCAGCATATTCATAGTGGCTTTGTTAACTTTGAGAAAAACACCATTAAATATATATCTGCAGATAGATAGACATATAGGTCCCGTTTAGTAGGAAGCATTGAAAATAAGGAATAGGGATTGAGATTGCAATTGAAAAAAATCATTAAAATAGTATTTAGCATAATTAATTACTTGTTATATGAGATTAGACAAACCCATAGGAGTGGGATTAGAGAATACCACTTTCTCCCATAATATTCCTCAATCCCACATACATGGATTTGGTTGATCCCATATTACAAACAATCTCTTATGTGAAACACTTTTTAATAGATTTTTTCAATACTAATTCTAATCCTTGTCCCTAATTTTTAATGTTTCCTAACAAATAGGATCATAAGGCTCAACTCTAGATTTTCTTGGAAATAAAATGTAAAACACATACGCATGAAATGAAGAGAATCACAAATAGGGGGATTTGAAGGCAAAGTGATAAGCAGACCAAGAAAGATGGCAAAAGAATGCAAGTTTATGTGTAAAGTTATATCATGTTTGTGCAAAACGCTAATAACATATGTAGAGCAAGCTTATACATATTTGAAATCAAACAATCTATCTAGTATTCGAGTATTTTCCGTTTACACTGAAAAAAAAGTCATATTCGAATGTATCAATATCATAACATGCATAGATATAAATAGGGTCATTAAGGAACTTTTTCATGCTTCTTTGTAAAACTAAGGAATCGTAGGTGGATCTAAGCACTACTTTTTCTATCCTTATTTGGGAATTAGTGTTTCACACAGGAAGTTCACATATAAATTGCCGACATAAGACACGCAACTCCTAAAACCTCCCAGCCTTCCTCTGGGAGGGAAAAAAATAAAAAATCTAATCATTACTTTAGGGTGAATTAAGATATAAAGCAGAAAACACAGTGAAATGGAGTTCAGATGTTTTGCAGCCATGAAATATTTGCTAAAATTATATAACATAGAAAGCTAGAAGTTCCACCAATCCGATGCTTCTAACTGTATTTCAGGGTTACCTGCCGCAGACGCAGGAGCTGCAAAATCTTCCTTGTTTTGGGATGCATAGAATTGATACTGGAATTCAAAATTTTCATTATCATCCGGTTCCTTCAGCGGCATCACAAGAACAAGATAGCATGAGAGAATGCTTATTTACCCATGGATCCTCATGATGAATAACAGCTTGGCTTCTGGGTCGACATAAAATCCACACTTAAGCTTTGCTTCACGGTTCAATCTAATCAACTCCTTTCGCTGAACATAAATTGCAATTAAGCCAATGCGTAAGCAGCTAGAAATGAACCAAAAAAACTCATGTTAAGCTCTGCAACGTAATTCTTATAAATTTTAACTTTACATGCCTGCTCGTCATATTCTTTTGTGTACTCTTTAGCCCTGTTGAAAATTAGTTTTCGTGTTTCAGATCTCTTTTTCTTGGCAGCTTCAAGCTCCTCCTTTTTGGCCAGAGCCCATTCCTTGTTTCTCTTCTGCTTTTTAAATACAGACTCAGGAATGTTGTGTAAACATTGCAATGTGTGTCAAATAAAGTCCCACATGGGAAAGATGAGAAGAAGACTAAGTGTATAAATGAGATCAAGCATCCTTGGAGGGATAAATGGGCTAAGAGGAAAGTAGGCCTCGTGCACACAACAACGGGTTATCAGGAGGGAAACGCAATTGAAAATTGGCGAGTTTGATCCTGGGAAGTGCCGCTACCTGTTACACCGAGGGGTTGCGGAATATCTCTCAAGGACAGTGTCCTTGTGACGCGACTCGAATCGACTTTTGCTGTTTTCCTTTGCTGCCGCCAACAAGGAACAACTACTCCAACTTTAACATCCTCTCCGCCCATGCTTTAGATTAAGAGGATAGAAAATTAAATGCAATGAACTAAGCAACAATCAGCTCACAGGACCATCAAAGTCAATGAAAAATTCATAGGTATCGAGTTTTCCATTTATTACAAAAGGCAATGTGAAACAACAAACACAAATCCCAGACATTACATTACAACAATTATAATCACCAACTAAACACAAAAACCATGCAAACCCACATCATACTATTCCATTGGTTAGAAGGGGCTTTTATAGCTAAAAATTGCAGGGGGAAAGAGAAAATAAATTTGCTTTCAAGACGGCATAGCCAGCTACAGAATTCACATCAGCTTGTTCGTATTGTCAAAATAAGATGCCCAATGAAGAATTGATAAATTAAAAGGAGAAAAAGTCCAAAATTTGAAGACTGTTCGAATGCCGGCAAATTTAACTGATAACAAAGTAAAGTCTTCTATTTTTGCGTTTACGCCTTGCCAAGTTTTGTTAGGGAGCCAAATGATGAAGCATAGAAGTGATACTAGCGACCGGTCCGATGGAAATATTTCGTTGAATTTAGAGCAGAAAGTTCTTCTTCACCAATCTATAGCTCATTATTTGGAGCTCCATGGCTTCTCAAAGACCTTGAAAAAATTTCGTACCAAAGCACAAATCGAGGTGGGTTTTACTACTCTCGCTGTAAATGTGGGAATTGGCTGAGTTGAACCAATAATAAAGTTTAAATTTTCGATCATGTAATAGAACTGAGAAAAAGGTGGTATTAGGGTGTTCCATTATATCACGTCAAAAAAAGAACGTAATACAGAGGAGTTCTTGAAGAATTGAAAATCAATGTTCTAGTAGCAGGTAACATATCCTGCTACAGAACATAACTCAGCGGCCAACCTCTACGACCTTACATTATAGTATTTGGTCTAACATGCTCAAATATGTCTAAAACACAATGCAGTTTTGAAAGATGACAATGTATATCACATGTTCGGTAGTTTTATTGGTTGGCCATTTTGTTGGTCCCTTGGCATTGGTTTAGTTTCCAGTAATCCAGATACTACTTTGGATCAAACAAGTTGTAGGTCATGGATGATGGCGGTGATTATTTCCCCTTATTATTTCATTCTAAGCTTTCTTTCAACGTGCTGCAGAGTGGCGCTCAAAATATGCTTGCTTTCATATCATGTAGCTCAATTTAAAAATCTGCTGGTCCAACAATCGAGTAGAAGGCGCAACATACATTTATAATATGCCGTTTCTTATAGCTCATAATATTACCAATGTGAACATTCGTTTTGAAGCTAAAGCAAAAGGGAATGATCTCTATGCTCAATGGGTTCGTTTTAAATTTCTGAAGTAAACATATGACGTTAAGAAGAAAAGCAACTAATTTTGATAACGGATGATATTTTATGCATGGCATAGAGGAATGTTGTATGTATAGGTTAGTAATATAGGATTTCTGTGCGTAGTTCCCTTTTATTTATGTTTCACTCCTTAGCATTCAGTGTAAAAAAAGCTTGTTTCTTGCTTGTTGCTTCTGTTGGCTAATGTTGTTGTTCCTGCTTGGTGTAGAAAGATAATCGCGATGGATCATTAGTTGATCTAGAAGAAATGTGTCTCAAATATTTAAAAATTAGGTATGAGAAGGAAACTCTGCATTGTGTTGTTTAGTAATTGTGAAGTTCGTGATAATTTCAAAATTGATTCTTGAAACTTGAAATGGTAGCATGAATTATAGTTACATGTCTCACTGTACTTTTATTCAAAAGGAATAACAAAAGGAGTCTTGTTTAACCTAGTAACTGCGAACTTATTGTTTATCTGCTGATTTGGCTTTCATGCTCTAGTTTAATGAGCCTCTATATCTCCAGAATTGAACACACATGATTGTTGATTGATTGAGAAGTCATGTGTGACTTTTAGATTACTTAATCAGTGTTTCTCAAGTCGTTTGTCAAAACTTGAAGGGTACAATCAACCTGAAAGTTCTGTTTATTCTCATTGAGGATTTGCCTCTAGCTGTTAGGTACATATCAGTTCTAGAAAGTGCCAATTTCACTTTCCCAATTATTGCTGCATTATTTGGCCTCTTTAAATCTATGCTATTGATTTCAAAGTATTCTTTGTGATTTAATTATCTATTAATTATCCTTTCATTTTTGTTTCCCACTTTTTTCTTTCTCCTTTTGGTAGTGAGGATGTCAAGGCAAATAACAGTAATCAGAAGGGGCAAGGTATGCTTAAAATCCATGTATATATCTGTTTCTGTAGGTTCATGGTCAATTTCTTCCTTTCTCATTGCTTGCCATGCAATCATCTCTCTTTTGCTTCCTAGACTTATAAATTAGATCGTTATATTGGCACTTCTACGTGAGGGGGGCAGATTGATATCCAATCCCACTCAATAAAGTTCAGCGATCCTGATGATGATGAATGACTGCACATACAAACAACTTGGAAAGGAAATTTTGTTTCATTATTGCTATTGGATGCCTTTCACACTGCCTTTTCCTGATCGTGTGGTCGTGAAACAATTCAATTCAGCAAGTAGAGCAATACTATTTCATCTTATTTATTTGGTAACACTGTAAAGTGGCACATCAATGGCATCTTGAACTGTACAAAAATATCTTCAACACAAACCTCTCTTGTAGAGGCTTCTGTTACATATTCATTATGTAGATTGGACGATTAGGGGAACTCTGTGTGTGTGTTAAGGGATTAAATATATATTAAATCTATTTATATTTATTATTATACTATTTGACGTTTTGATAGCCGCCAATAAACAACACAAAAGCTGAGAAAACGCAAAGGCGAAACCAAAGAATCCTATCGGCTCTATCAATACTGCAGTGATCCCTGAGAGGGAGGCGAGATCCTCGTCTCTAACCCTCTATGTGTTTGTGTTTTTGTTTGGTAACTGTTGCACAATTCGAAGAAGTAAAAAAGAGCACAAAAAATGGTGGTAAGGATTTGATTATCGAGGTTTGGGTACAAGAACAAGCCATTCTATCAAGTCATGGCTACCGATAGCAGATCCCCAAGAGATGGCAAGCACCTCGAAGTTCTAGGTTATTACAATCTCTTACTAGGTTCTCACTTCTCTCTTATTTCCCTTTCTGTTTGGAATTTCCATTTCGGTTTTTGTGTGAGAGAGGTAACTGCAGCATTCTTGTTTCTGTTTGAATTCTGAATTCTGAGAAAGTCGTCACTGTGAGGGAAATTTGAGATTCAAGGCAATTAGATTACCAAATGTTAGTTTGTTGGAAATAAAACTGTACAAGTTATTTGTATCTTTCTAGTAGTCAGAAATCAATAAGTATCTGCATTCTGCACAGAGCTGTTTTTCATATTCAATAGGATAGGTTATGATGTATTGACAGGTGCACGCAATGACACTAGCTCAATCAGATGTTTGCACTTTAAGTTAACCTTCACTTTCAAGTGGGAATGAGAATTTGAGTTATGGATGTCAATAGAATTTTATCAAAAAATGAAATTGTAATAGAAAGAGATAGCATACTCAAACCCAAGCAATATCTTTCTTGGTAGCGACAATGTTTGTTCCTTCCTTCTTTTTTGAATTTAGTACACTCTAGCCCCAGAGAATCAAGTGTCTAGTTATATATGTTAGTCTATAATCTGTTCTTTTTATTATTTAGCGATGAGAAAGTTCATAAACGGTTCTAATGATACCAAATTCCTATTTCATTTCCTTTTTTATCCTACTTTTCATTCCATAAAAAAAAAAAAACCCCATTTACCGATAGGATTAAGTTTAATAGAAGAAACTCGTCTCCCACAACATGATAAACAAAATTTTCTTGTTTATTAAAAGAAATATTCACATATAATACCTGACAGTGCTTTAAATAAAATTAACTACAATAAGAAAATATCTATGCATAGAGGGAAAAAAAAAAAATCCCCGCCAAGCCCAAAGGTCGGCACTGCCTACTAATTGACATTTCACTGACTAGTCCATTTAAATCTAAAATCTAACGACATATCAAAAATTAAACCCCAAATATCTCATGAACACTCCTTTAGTTTACTTTTGTTTTTAGAATTGCATTCACATTTACACTAAAGATTATCCTCCAAAATGCATCCTCAAGACAGAATCAAAATGCAGTACAGAAATAAGAAAACTAACAAGACGATATTCAGAATATAAGGATTACTAATCAGCTATTTTCCTTGCGGACCAAGCAAAAGTTCCAAAATACAAAAATATCAGGCATTTCACGATTTCATCACCAAGATTAACCATCAATTCACTTCCATAAACCAATCAAAATTCATATCATATCTGAGAAGGTGGAAATGCCATCTGACTTTTTCTCTGGCTTTAGATGACACGTTACAGATTCACAACCCTTTCCCAACAGGCACTTTCAACAAATAAATAGCAATTATTCTCTTCAGTTAACTGGTAAGCCGATTGAAAATACACATTCTCGTAATATACCTAGAATAGAAGGGTCAACAGAATTAGAAAAAAAAAAAAAACACTTAAAAAAACATAGTAAGGTTTTATGGAGTGGGGGTGTCATCTTCACCATCATCTTTATTGCTGTCATCTTTAACTGGCTTCTCTTGACTGAGGATACACCCAGTAAGAGCATCGACAGGGCGTGTATCACGTGATCCGCCTTTACGCCCCATGGCCACCATTGGCGGTGGCGGCAGTAACCCTGCTCGGAATAGTAGACGCTGTACAGGATCTGAAGGTTGGGCTCCAACAGAAAGCCAATACCTGAGAAAGAAGGCAAGAGAAGTTAATGCCGTAAGAATAATAACCTATATTTATGTTCCAAAGCCGGCCAAGGGGGAAAAAAAACATGTATGTTCCAAAGAATTCACTTAGATGAAGTATATTTGGCCAATCATATAGATAAAGATTGGGCTAATAGCCAATCAACTGAAAAAAACCAACATGCTCTTCTTAGCAATCACTTGAATCAACAATGATATGTGTATTGGGAACTAAATAAAAATACTTACTTTACTCTTTCGAAGTTTAGACCCATTCTTTTTGCATTATCTTGCCCTGTATAGAAGCAATGTAAGTTGAAAAGAATTAAATGGTATCATTAGAACCGTCTATGAACTTTCTCATCGCTAAATAATAAAGAGAACACATTATAGACTAACATATATAACTAGACACTTGCAGCAATTCTCTGGGACTAGAGTGTACTAAATTTAAAAAAGGAGAAAGGAACAGACATTGTCGCCACCAAGAAAGATATTGCCTGGGTTTGAGTATGCTATCTCTTTCCATTACAATTTCATTTTTTGATAAAATTCTATTGGCATTCATAACTCAGATTCTCATTCCCACTTGAAAGTGAAGGTTAACCCTATCAATACATCATAACCTATCCTAGTGGATACAAAAAATTCTGACCACTAGAAAGATACAAATAACTCGTAAAGTTTTATTTTCAGCAACGAATTTCTCTTCCTTTCTCACACTTTCTCAGAATCTATATACATAATAAATAAAAATCAAAAGCAAGCCGAGCCAATTTCCTATCCATAATGACTCCTCACTTATTTTCCTGTGCCATGAACAGTAATGGCTAAGTGAACAGTATCGGCTATTGCATGTGGCTCTGTGCTAGAATGAATTTCTTTGGTTTTAATTTTCTGATTTTCTCTCTCTTATTTCGTAGGAAAGGGTAAATATTGTCTCATCTCATCATATTTTTCAGTCCTTATAAAGAGTGTGTCAGCTCTTTTACACTTACTACATCTACTCATCTTAATATTTTCCCGTTTCAAATTCAAAATTGTTTCCTTTCCCCCTCATTTTCTTCTTTTCTTCACCAAACCTAACAAGGGAGGGGGGAGGAAATTTTCTGCATGAGTAATCTTTTTTGCATAGATGGGATAGGATTTCGCATATAACTTTCTCCCTCTCTTCTACATCGCTGGAAAAGAGGAGAATTAGTGGCTGTAAGAAGCTCCCTCTTTCAATCCAAGGATGCGAGGAGGCCAAGAATTTTAAGATCAACAGAGAGATCCGTTTCCTTCTTACACATCAGGTATGAATCTCCATAGGGTAAGGTCCTGTTTTTCTCATTAGAATCACTACATCATGTACATATCTTCATCTCTGTATTGGCTATTGTACATGCCATGTTTTGTGTCACCACACTGCTGCTTGGAGGCGCAATTACGTATCCATAATTTGGGCAAATATGATATTGTATTGCAATAATTCATTTTCAAGGACCTTATAACAATTCTGCTAAATGTTGTTTTATCTTTCATACTTCCTTTATTGTGTTCCACAGCTGGGATGCATATTGGTTAGTCTTTAATTATCTACCTGAGTTCATATCTAGCAGAATGTGGATGTCATAATTTTTTTAATCCTCTTTTTAAGTATAAGTTTGAGGCTATCATCTTCACTAGACTGCTAAAGGTATTGAGTATGGTATTGGGTAATATCTGCAAGGCAATATGTTAATTACTAAAGTTCATTTTCTTGGCAGTTGGCGATGTGCAGCTTTCCTGTGAGTTTCGTGTAAGAAAAAGATTTGTCCCATACCTTTTTATTCAGAGTTGACGTTAAGCAAAACCAATAGGTTTATCCTCAATTGAGGATAAGGTAATTATCAAAACTCAATGGTACTTACTCACTGGTTCCAATGTTGAACTTGGCAGTTGAAGGGAAGGGAGAAAGTGCAAATACAAAGCGAAACAAAGGATGGTCCTTGGTGTTCTTAGGCTGTGATTTCGAATTAAGACATCCATTGAATCAAGTTCTCCCTCTTGTCCATTTTGGCTCATTTCTCCCTTCTTTTTCTCATCATATATGAACGATAGACCAATGGATGTGAACAAAGTTGTTTTGTCCATAGTTTCAAATAGCTAAAAGTCACAAGCCAAAAACCATTACTAAAAACACAGTTGTTTTGTGGGGTTGAAATAATGAACGATGGGATCTCTAACTTCTTGCTCTAATTTCAGTATGGTAGAGTTGGAAATGGACAGCTTTCTTGGGGGATGTATTGAAGCAGAAATTTTTCTATACCTATTTCGTGAATCATGAAGTTTACCTAACTTTGCAACTTTGTTATTGACAAAACACAGTAGTTATTTATACAGTGGTCAAATGCGCTTTAGATGCAAGGGAAGATTTCAAGTGAAAAAATGCATAACAAGAATGCAAGTGAAAATAAGTGGTGCAGGGAGATTTATTTTGATATTTCTTTTAAACTGGTTAATTAATAGAACTCCTTTTTGATGGCTTTTATAGTTGGTATCTATATTTATTTTCCTCCATTTTGAATGTTTTACCTATTGGGCTAAATAATTCTTATGCTTTTATAGTTGGTATCTATATTTATTTTCCTCCATTTTGAATGTTTTACCTATTGGGCTAAATAATTCTTATGTCTCAAATATCACACGTTATCCAGATTCTTATGTTATAGAGTCACAATTCAGGAAGATATTAATAAATAAAAATAGATCCTTACACCAAATACAAGTAAATGAAAATATTGAACAAATAAATGATCCTCACACCAGATACTGCTAGGTACTATTTGAATTTGAACCAAATACTGTTTGAAAAGAAAATATGGTGCAAGGGAGCAGAATCTTATCTTCCATTATTAAAAAGACCGGTTTAACCAATTTAAAGACAGTCGGACTGAGTGTTTTGCTTCATGGCTAATTTTGTGGTTCAGATACTACTAAGAAAATTAAGGCCACAAGCCATACATATAATACATGTTAAGCTTAATGAAAGCATTAAAGTAAATTCATCCCGTGCATCGCACGGGGAGAGGAAACTCTAGTTCAAACAGAAAAAAGAATGCTGCGGTTAGCGAAATCCGATCACTCCAGCTAAAAACGAAACCTCCCTCACACAGACACCGAAATGGCAATTCCAAACAAAAAGGGGGAATAAGAGAGAAGTGAGAACCTGGTAAGGGATTGTAATAACCTAGAACTTCAAGGTGCTTGCCATCTCTCGGGGATCTGCTATCGGCAGCCATGACCCGATAGAATGGCTTGTTCTTGCACCCAAATCTTGATAATCGAATCCTTACCACCATTTTTCGTGCTCTGTTTTACTTCTTCAAATTGTGCAGGGTTGGCGACGAGGCAGGGCTGTTGGCGACGAGGCAGGGCTGGCGACGACGCGACGAGGATCCCGCCTCTCTCTCAGAGATCACTTCAGCATTCACAGAGCCGAGCCGATAGGGTTTTGAGTTTTCCTTAGACGCGGCTTCTCTCCTTCTCCCTCACCATCCGCCGCCCTCCTCTACCTTTGATACTGCGCCGTTTTGAGTGAAAGCCCGGGGTGAGTGCCCTTTTTTTTTTTTTTTCAAATCTAATACCTTAAAAATACTTTTCCAGTGTCAATCCTAAATTAATTTTTTTTTGACCAGCAACAATCCTAAATTAATTGTTAATGCACTCAGCAAGGTAAAATATTTTTTTTTAGTAACACTCAATATTTAACACCCAGCGTTTTAAGATGTTTCTTAGTAACACTTGGTATTGTAAAATAATTTTTGGTCCACTTAGTAGGTTAAAATATTTTTTTTAGTAACATCTTTTATGCAATATCCAACATGCTGCGGTACTTTTAGAAGTATCAAGTATCTTGAACTAAATTTTAGTGACCATAAAATATTATATGAAAAATTACTTTAAGATACTAAATACTATTAAAAAATATTTTAAGATGTTGGGTATATTAAATATTAATTTATGATATTAGGTGTTATTAGAAAAATACTGTAATACGATGGATATTACTGAAAAATTTTTGGGATTTGGATGCTATTAAAAAATACTTTAGGATACTAAAAGTTAGATATTGAGTACTATTAGAAAAATATTTTAGAGTGGTAAGTGTATTAAAAATTCATTTAGGATACTCAATAATACTGAAAATTTTTTTATGGTAGTGAATTTTTTTAAAATATAGAAAAGCACTCACTCTCCCTTGTTTTTCACTCAAAACGCTGCAGCTTTTGACGGTAGAGGAGGGGGGCGGATGCCAAGGGAAAAGGATAGAAGCAGCATCCGTTTTCCTTTCCGTTCACTCAGTTTTGTATCATTTATTTATTTTTATTTTTTTTTTAGTAAAAGGGGAAAATGTATTAATAGCAAATATTTACAAAGACAAGGTCAACTAGGCAGTAGAGTTGACAGGATTAAGTTGCTCTTCTGCCTTAATGACGTACTGGTTTAAGTTTTGAGATGAGTAAATAATAGAATCAGGGGTTGAGGGTTCATTACAAGAAATAGTCCTATTTCTATTATCCCAAAGTTTCCAAATTAGAATTCCCTTTTTATCATTTATTAGAAGCTATTAAAATGACAATCAAAGAATACAATGATAAATGTCAACAGATTAAAGTATATATTTAGTTTTTTAAGTTTATATAAAATTTTAATTTAATTCGTTTATTTTAAAAAACATACATTTGGTCCTTCAATCCTAAAATTATTATTTTTAAATGATTATTTTTTTAATAGTGATGATTGTTCTGAAAATTAAAATTTAATAATATTTTATCAACATTTAATATATAAATAGTATCATTTTTTGTTAATAATTTGAGGGGTAATATTAAAAGACTAAATGTATACTTTAACATATATAAATAAGAAAACTGAAACCCATACCAAAACTCCAAGGGAAAATTACAATTAAGTTTCAAAAAAAAATACACTAACAAGTCTTAATAATAACTTAAGCAGCATGTGATGACGAGTTTCTGAGTTGGCAACATTTTTTTTTGTAAATTTTCTTGTACATAAAGATTGCGGGTCTAACTCTACGTATGTGCATGTCCTTCTAATTGAAAAAATATCAATATTCAACAAATATAATGCTTTGTTAAACAAAAAAAATTATATATAATGTAAATGTGTGCTCCTATTTTACGAGTCATAGTGTTGAATCACTAAGAAATATCATTATGTGTATTAAATTAATATAAAATCACAATATTTATCTGTAATAAACACAACTTATCTCAAAATCTATATGAACATATGGAAATCACACTAGTTAGCTGGTAAAAATAATAAAATTATAATGCTCATAATATAAGATTGCAAATGGCAATCTCAACAAATGTTTTTCTACTTGCATACAGATATCCGCCTATTAGAATACTATAATTATAATTATCAATTTCAAAAGGATCATTGTTCTGGAGAATCAAAATGTTAATAATTCCCCTACAATAAAAAGTGACAAGCATCAACTCCCAAACAAAAAATGTTATCTTTCTCCCCTTAAGTTGGATTTTAATGAGTAAAAAATAAAGACAAGATGTATGAGTCAGCAAATGACTCATAGATTGTTCACATAAATTTAATCTCTCCTCTTTTTGCAGCAAGATTCTCGTTCCTACTCATCCAATTATCATTTGACTCGTTTTAACATTTAATGTATATTTACAAAATTTTTCTATCCAATAACAAAGCAATCAACGTCAACTTCACTTTCAGGAAGACGATGAGTATAATGTCAGCACCAAGCTTTTTGACTTGCCGGGCAGCAGCACAAAGCGGCTTTCATTGTATTGTATCATATCATTTCTCCTTTTCATTGGAATCTTGGGAGGATCTGTTGAACAGTAGCAAAACCATCGCCTTTCTTTTTGTCTTTTGAAAAATTCAAAACAAGCAGAATAATTTGATTTCCTTACCATGACAAAATGCTTACGCGGGCGGGCGTGTGTGTAATAAAAGCACTTGAATAGTTAAAAGTTGGATGTTGCTTGGGCTTAATCATACTGGCTTCATAGATAACCAGGCCCAAACTGAGAAAATGCTAAGAAGATTGACTTGACAATATTAATATGAATCTATCCATGGGTTCATGTACTTTCTGTCACCAAGCATCCCATTCATTTGATTTGACATTTACAGTATGAAACACACACTCACAGAATTCCCCTAATCCTCCAATCTACATAATGAATATGTAACAGAAGCCTCTACAAGAGAGGTTTGTGTTGAAGATATTTTTGTACAGTTCAAGATGCCATTGATGTGCCACTTTACAGTGTTACCAAATAAATAAGATGAAATAGTATTGCTCTACTTGCTGAATTGAATTGTTTCACGACCACACGATCAGGAAAAGGCAGTGTGAAAGGCATCCAATAGCAATAATGAAACAAAATTTCCTTTCCAAGTTGTTTGTATGTGCAGTCATTCATCATCATCAGATCGCTGAACTTTATTGAGTGGGATTGGATATCAATTTGCCCCCCTCTGTATGTCCCACGTTTTTTCTTGGTCTTCTCATGACGAAAGTCCCTGTGCGAGTCAATAACAGGTACAAAGGAAATTCAGACTGAAGAAAAAGTTATTGTTATTCAAATTAGTTCATAAGTATCTTACATCCGCCACACTTACCTTCCCCTAACTTGGCCAAGAATTTCCTCTGCTTTTGCGC